GACTTGACTTTATTCTTCTTTATGGATGCACAGTATATATATACTGTGATATATACCATATTTTCTGTATTCATCTGCTCATGGGCACCTAGGCTGATTCTGTAATTCGATTATCACGAGTTGTGCCACAGTAAACATGGGTATCTCTATTGTATACTGACTGATTCTTTGAGGTCTACACACAGGAGTCATACAGCTGGGTGATGTGGTAGTTCTATTTTTAGTTTTTTGAGGAACCTTCCTACTGATTTCCTAGTAGCTATACTAATTTATATTCTCACCAGCTGCATATAAATAAATGTTCTTTTTCCCTTGCACTCTCACCAGCATTTACTATTTTTTGTATCTTTTTAGAGGGGGGATTCTTGAGACAGGGTCTCAGTAGGTATTGCAGGCTGGCCTTAAGCTCATGGTGATCCTCCTGTCTCAGCATTATTCTTGATAATGGCCATGTTGATTAGAGTGAGGTGAGATCTCAGTGCGGTTTTGATTTGCATTTCCCTGGTGGCTAAAGATGGTGAACATTTTTTCCTGTAATTATTGGCCATTTGTACTTCTTTTGAGAAATGTCTATTCATTTCCTGTGCCCACTTATCAACTGGATTACTTGTTCTCTTGGTGTTAAATTGCTGTGTTCTTTATGTATTGTAGATATTAATCCTCTGTCAGAAGAATAGCTGGCAAAGATTCCTCCTAATATGCAGGCCCCGTCTTCACTCTTTGTTTCTTTGTGCAAAAGCCCTTTCATTTAATGCAATTCCATCTGGCAGTTTTTGCTATTATTTTCTGAGCTATTGGAATTTCCATTTAGGAAGTCATTGCCTATATCTATACCTTGAAGTGTTTCTCCTATAATTTCCTCTAGTAGTTTCAGATTTTCAGCTTTTAAACATTCAGGTCTTTGGTCCCTTTTAGTTGTTTTTTTTTTGTAAGGTGTAAGAGATAGGGATCTAGTTTCAATCTTCTACAGGTAGGTAAGCAGTCTCCCCAGCTTCATTTGTTAAATAGGCTGTCTTTTCTCCAAAATGTTTTTGACTCCTGGGTCAAGAATCAGATGGCAAGATCATTTTGGTAGCCGTGTGGGGGTTTATTTCTGTGTTCTCTATTCTGTTCCTCTGGTCTACATGTCTATTTTTATGCCAACACCATGTTGTTTTTGTTATAGTGGCTTTGTAGTATGTTTTGAAATCAGGTATTGTGATGACCCCCACCTGGTTCTTTTTGCTCAGGATGGCTTTAGCTATGGTGGGCCCTTTGTGCTTGCATGCGAATGTTAGGATTGTTTCCTCTAGTTCTGTGAAGAAGCTCATTAACATTTTGCTGGGGATTGTGTTGAAGCTGTAGGTGGCTTTTAGTAGATGTCTCTTTTAATTCTCCCAACCCATGATCATGGGAGGTCTTTCCATCTTTCTAGTGTCTTCTTCTGTGTTGCATAATTTTCACTGTAGAGGTCTCTCACCTCCTTGGTTATGTTTGTTTCTTTAAAGCTTTTATAAACGGGATTGTTTGCCTGATTTCCTTCTCATCAAGGTCATTCTTGGTACATAGGAAAGCTATCCATTTTATATGTTGATTTTGTATGCTGTGACTTTCTAAAATTTGTTTTTCAGTTCTAAGAGGCTTTTAGCAGGTTCTTTAGGGTTTTCTAGGTATCAAATCATACCACCTGCAAAGTGGAACATCTTGACTTCCTCCTTTCATGTCTGGATCCCCCTTTTTTTCTTTCTCTTGCTTAATTGCTCTGGCTCAATTTTCCCGCAGTCTACTGAGTAAGCGTGGTGAGAGCTGAGACTCTGTCTCATTCCTGATTGTGGAGGAGACGCATGGGCTCGGTCTTTAAATGTTTGATCTGGAGTTCCGGCTTCTGTGGTTTTGAACCGAGATGCTAGCGCCTCCTGGGGGGAACCGGCTCCGTGGCCGGAGATCCCTCTCCACACATTTCCTTCAAAGGAGAGAGTGTTTGCTCTGCTCTCCCCCAGCACCAAAGAAGCAGGTGTGTTTGTGCAGGTCTTGAAGGTATCTTTAAAGCAAACAGGCTTGATAAAATCTTTTCTTTTCTCTCCTCTTCATTCTCCTGTTACTCGTATTGATCTGGGTCTTTCCACAGGCACAGAGTATGCTCGCTCTGTTTGTACATTTCTGCAAATAGATGATCATGGAAACCTATTGTACGGAAACGGGCTCCACTGCAATGAATGAACCGTAACCTGGGGGGTGGCCAGCTACTTCCTCTCCTTTGAGATCTCAGTGTATAGAAGATTTTCGCCACAACACCTTTCCGCAACTTGCTTTTGTTCCTTATTAGGAATGCATGCCACTATCATGGGGTAACGTCCCAGAGGCGAAAGCAATTCCCTCCTTGGCCTTTTATAGGAAGTTCAAGCTTGCCATGGGTCGGGCGAGCTCCTTTTCAGCTTCAGGTATAGATCTGGGCATGTTAAGGAAAGGACTCTCACATAAACGGAAGTGTTGAGACATTCACTGGCGCTAAAAGTCAGCCCTGCATCTTGCTGAGGTCTTCGGGGCATCTAATAAATAGCACACTTTCCCCTGCATGAGTCCTGACCTACACGGGACATGAAATAAAGGAAGACAGCCAACAGAGCCCCACAGAGCACCTCCACAGCCCACAGAGTCTAGGTTGGGGGATGTGGCTTGTATTCATGAACAAATGAACTCCCTCATGCAGACCCAGGGAGGGCTGCAGTCACCTGCTGTGGGCCAGGGGACACCAAGAGTGGCCAGCAAACATCTGGAGCAGGAAGGGTGTTCCCTGGAGCCTTCAGTTCAGCCCAGCAGGCAGCTACCCATGTGGGCGCCGTGGAGAGGCAGTGCAGGAATGGCAAAACCAGGTACCAGGCTGTCACTAGACCTGTGCAAACAGTGGCAGGGGTGGGTGTCCTGTGTTTGACCTCCACACAGATGCCTGCATCTCCGGATGCTTGCGGCCCTCCCTGGTCTGCCCACTCCATCCCTACCAGAGCCATGGGTCATGGCACCCAGGCTGCAGTGCAGAGCGACAAGGAGGCCCCCAGTGGCTCCTCAGGCCCTTCTGGTGGTGCCCTCTGCATCTGGGGTTGGCTTCCACCCTTCCCCCAGCCCTGCCTGCCCTGCTGTCTTACCAGGCCTGGCCTGTGGAAGAAGGAGAAATGCAAGACTTAGTTCAAGCACTGCTATAGGCAGCAGGACTATGGGTCACTGAGGGTTTGTGAGAATTGGCTTGTGCTCCTATTCTGCCCTTTGCAACCACTAGAACCGTGGAGGTACAGGGCAGGAGACCCAGGCCTTGGGTCTCAAGATGTCATCATACCTTATTGGCTAGTAATTCTTGTACCAGTTAGCTTTTGCTGTACATACCAAATGATCCCAAAATTAATGGCTCAAAATACCAGGGCATTGATTATATCTCATAGTTCTGTGGGCTGAGTGACCAATTCCAGTGTAAGCCAGCTCAGCTGGGGCTGGTGGTCGAGGATGCCCTCTCTCCATGTCTGGGACCGCAGGTGGAAGGCTAGGATGGTTGGAGCCTCCCTCTCCACATACTCTCTCATCTCCCAGGAAGCCAGCTAACACTTGTTCCAGGCTAGCTAAAGGATTCCCAGGAACAGAAGGCAAGCCCAGCACCCACACCCTTCAGATCTCTGCTGGTGTCATATTTTCTAACCTCCCATTGGCCAAACCAAGTCACACAGCCAAGCTCAAATCAAAAAATGGAGAAATAAACTCCACTTTCTGAGGGGAGTATCTGTGATGTCACATTGCAAGGGCATGGATAGAAGGAGGGGAGAATGGGGAACCATTTATAATCATGACTGGCAAGGCGTCCTTCTAGGCACTTTGTAGCTATTCTCTTCTTAATTCTTGCAAGATCAAATCAGAAGCTGAGAGAATCAATATACTCATCCAAGGCTGTGCAGGCAGTGAGCAGCAGAGCTGGGATCCAACCTGAGCTTACCTGGCTCCAAGATTGGTTTGCTCTGGAGCCCACGTGCTGAATTGACCCGGCACCAGGACAGAGTCTCACAGGCCAAACTGCTAGTGTACATTACACTGTGGGTTCAACTGGAATGGTGAACAGAAAAGAACAATGAACAAGAGGACAAAGGAGGGCTGGGGATTTAGCTCAGCAGCAAAGCGCCTGCCTGGCAAGGGCAAGGTCGTGAGTTCGATTCCTGGTACCGGAAGAAAAACAAACGAACCAACAAAAACAAAACTGGAACAAGAGAAAAAGGACAATGACCAAGGGAAGAAAGAAGAATGAACAAGGGAAGTCAGCAGTGAACACAGATGGGCACGCCAAGCCTAAAGCCAAGCTCTAGAGTAAACTGGGGCCCACTAGGTGGCCCAGTGGGCTGACCAATGGGCAGGACAGCTACACTCTCTAGACACCCGAGCTTCGGCCGAGCAATGGAGACCATAACGGCCACCTGGTTTGGTTCATTAGGCTAAAGTCAATATGGGAAAATGGAGGACAAGCTTTGGAAAGTGACTGGGCAGAAAAGGCACAGAGAAAGAAGTTTCTTGACCCCTCACCTTTCCCAGATAACAGCTTCGGCAGTGATCTTTACATCCCCCACACTCTTTCTCTCTTTAGAGCCTCACAGGCCTTTCCGGTGCCTAAGGAGTCGCTTCCTGTGTGTGCTTCTCCTCACCTCCCAGGCGGATCCCACGCATCGCCCCCCTCTTTCTCTCCTCTCCCATGTGACCCGCGGTGCTGGTCCTTCCGCCATATGCATTTTTCCCCTGGCCCTTCACACCCTTGCTTCTCCTTTGGATTTCCTCCTGATCCCCAGCGCCAGTCTCAGCCAGGGCTTTCGTCTGACTTTGAACACCCAGAGGCACTCGTGGTGACTGACAACAATGAGGCCTCAGAGAACAGGTCACTTGAGCTGGGGAGACGTCAGCGAAAGCCTCTTAACATTTGATTGGCCTTTTGTTAAGAGAATGGTGACTCTGTGCGCTGGGCCCGAGAGACACTGGCCCCTTTTCAGAGTGGACAGAGCTGGGATGGCATGCACTGAAAGGGCAGCGTTGATAGCTGAAACTAGGTGTGCCACAGCGCAGGGTCGGGGCCGTGCGGGGGCACACTGGCCAGCAGCCAGGAGCCCAGCAGCCCCAGGAAGGACGAGCCACGGAGGCCCGGCTGGAAGCCAGGTGGAGCTCATTGGTGCTGAGAGCGACCCAGAGCACATGCAACCCCGCCAGGCAGTGTCAAGAGCAGAGGACACCTGTGCCAGAGGTCGAGTACGATGTCCGGGAGGAGGCCCCCGCGGGTACTCGGACGTAGTACCAGACTTGACTGGGGGCACATCCACACGGTGAGTGGCATCTGTTTGGTTTCATTCTGAGTTTTGAGTTTTGTCAACTGCAGAAGGTCAAAATAATTACAGCGAGCAGATGAACTGGAAGTGGGGTAGGCAAAGCGGTAAAGAAGGGAAAGATGGAAGGCAGGAAGGGCAGAGAAATTCCGTGTGTCTTAGCAAGTAGATCGGGTCAACAACTCGCTCTCCAGTTTGTTTTGCCCAGCTCTGGAGAGGTGTATGTACCTGGACTCGAGGTGGTGTCTGCAAAGCCTACCTACTCTCTTACTGCGCTCTGCTGACAAGGAAGGGTCGGTTCGTGTTCCAATCATTGCGTACAGGGAAATGGAATCCTCATTTTGGGTTATACAGACGTTGCTTTCCTATAGACTAATGGGAAGGTTGGATTCAAAAGGAATGAAAAACTCCAATGGGCTTCTGGACCGTGCGAGGGACTCAGGGGTCCTTGTGGAAATATCTCTGTGTCCTCCATTAAGGGTTCCAGAAAGCCAGGCTCCCCAGGTCTATCTCTGAGCTCATCTTGCCAGAAAGATAGGTGATATTCTTATTTATGCTCCCCAAGCAAGGGGGCTGCCCCCTCGCTGTGAAACCAGGTAGGAATCCAGAATATCACCAACAATGGCAGTGTTAGACCTCAACTCCTTAAAAAGCCACTGAGCGCCAAGAATCATACGCGAGAATCAGCTGATAAACAAGGCTTGTGTTTTCAGTGACAAGGGCTGTCCCCACTGTCAGCACCACACTCGACGGCTCACCTGCTTACGGTCCCATCTGTTCCCTTTTGCTAACGTGAAGTGAGGTGCCACCGGAGCTTGGATCTTGGGGACAAAGCATCCAGATTCAAACCCCAGCTGCGCAGCTGGCTACATCTAAATCACTTGATCTCCCTTTGCCACCATTGTTTTTTGAAAAATGGGGTGAGCGATTGTCATGACCTCCTAGGAAACAGAGAGGTAAAAATTGGTTAATATAAATAAATTGCATGAACTAGTACCTGGCACATAGTAAAGGCTCAACCCGTGTTGTCTTACTACTGGCTAATACCATGGCATTGCTCAGCACAGGGTGAGGTGGAGAGCCCAGGGAGAAGCCCGGGGCTCCGAGGACCCTGGACACCACAGAATGGCAGATGAGACAATGACAGCATAGCAAGCATCAATAACCCAGCGTCAGTGTAAAAGTAGAAACCTAAATTCAATAAAAATAACACATGGTGAGCAGAATTCTATAGGAAGATGACAGTGACACGGTTCCACCCATTTTCTGTTCTTAGGGAGAGATGAGCACATCCTTTTTTCAGTTTGATTTTTTTTTTTTTTTTTTTTTTGAGACAGGGTCTCACTATGCAGTTCAGGCTGCCCTTGAGCTTACTGTGCAGCCCAGGCTTTTCTCGAACTTGCAACAATCTTCCTGCCTCAGCCTCCTGAATGTGGAGATTACAGGCCTGTGCCACCACACCTGGCTGATCTTTTTATAAAAGTGGTTTTATTTCTTAAAACTGCCTCCCCTGCCTGGCAAGTGTAAGGTCCTGAGTTCGATTCCAGGTACCAAAAAAAAAAAAAAGAAAAGAAAACTGCCTCCACCAGTAAGTAACAGTCATGGGGGGTGGTGCAGGATACGGGGAAGGAAGGGAGCAACAAAGGAAGGGAAGGAGGCATGGAAACTGGGTCAGCGGCTTCACAGCCTTCCTTGCCTGTGTCCTCGGAAACTTACCTGGAATGTGAAAGCATTTAATCAACTGTAATCACCTCACTTGTCCTTTGGCAAAGGAGAAAAGACGGTTCTTTGTGTTAGGGAAGTGCGCGCCATAGACAGGATATTCTGTTGTTCTTTCAGTCAGAGCAATTTCAGAGGAATAGAATTCCAAGAATTTCAAATAAGGCTGTATGACCCTCACCACCGTAAGAGGCGTGTACTTCACAAGGAACATTGTAGAGAAAGTGAAAACAAGTTTACGCATTTAACACTTCCCCCCTTAATACTTTCCTCCTTTATGTTAAAAATGTTTATTTAGGTATGGTTATCATACATGACGCGCACAGCAAGCAGACATGCAGTTCAAGGTGTTTGAGAATGTTCTACATTGTCTATCCTAAGATATAGAACATTTCTCATTAGGCCAGAAACTTCCCTCCGGTCCCCGGTGGTCAGTCCTCTCTCATCATGTTCTGATTTCCGTATCTAAATTGCTTTTGTTTTTATCTGGATTTTCTCTGAACAGAATGAGATCGTGTACATCCCTTTGTGCTTAATTGCTTCAGCTTAGCATGTTGTCCTTGAGATTTATCTGCCACAGGGTGTTTCGGTGGGCCTTTCTTTTCCATTGCAGAATGGTATTCTGTTGTGTAAACACGATATATCCAGTTTTGAAATACTATTACATAGGGTTTCATTTCCACGGAGTTACTTCGTCATTTTTGTGAAAAATCAGTTGGCTCTCTATATATTGCCTATTCTGCAACTGTTTTACCCAATTGATTTATATTTTGATCTTTATGCTAATACCTTCCCATCTCAACTTCTGTAGCATTATGATATTTCTAGAGATCATATAGTGTAAGTCCTCTGAATTTCTTTCATTTTCAAAATCACTTCAGATATTAAAATATCTAAATATCTAATATCCCATATATTTCCATATAAATTTTAGGATCAGATCATTTATTTCTTCAAAATTCATCTGCTGAAATGTTGGATACAGTTGTGCAGAGCCAATGCATACATTTAAGGAAAATAGAGATCTTTATAATATGGAGATTTCCAACTCATGAACATGGTATATTCCGCCTCTTTCATTTTTCTCAGAAATGCTATGTAGTTTCTGTGCACAGATCTTATATATCTTCCATTAACTTTATTCCGAGGGCATTTATTTGAAGTTTGTGGTGCCACCGTAAATGATTTTTTTTTTAAACTTTCATGTTCAAGTGTTTGTCATGGGCATATAAAAATACAACTGATTCTTATATTTTGACTTTGCATTTATGACCCTGGTAAAAATCATGTAATTCTACCGATATTTTTGTAGAATTTTCTTAACACAAAACATATAATTTAAGACTGATTACATAGTAAATAAATTAAGAACCTAAATGTCCTCGTTTTTACCATGTATTAATACACTTGCCTCCAAAGGTTTTATTGCTGGTGGCTGTGGTGATGATAGTTTTGATGGGGATGATTTATAGAGAGGAAAGAGATCATAAAACAAATCTTTCATGTCAGTTGCAGAATCTCAAAGCCATGTGGTTAACCTTCTCCATCCACACTCAGACTTGAAAGGTTCCTAAGGCTTGGTAACTTTTCATGCCCACAGCCTTGTCTGCATACTTTTCAATTACAGGAGCTCCAGCCTCCATACCCAGTACTGTATGTTTTCTCCAGTTCTTACAGTGTGTTTCTGTACATAGGGACAGAGTAGACACTATCTTAAAATACCCTCTGAGAAATAATAAATACCTACTAGTTGTCATTTGGTAAATGGCATCCTCAGTTTTCCTGTGGAGCAGGAAGGAGCAATATTGGAAATAATGAAAGGTATCGTTTAGGAACATCTGCTATACACCCGCAGCTGAGCTTAGCAATCTACACACATCGCCTCATTCATTCCACTCAAAGGAATGAAGTTAGGATCATCCTCAGACCCATTTCACAGCTGAGGAAACTGAGGCTTAGTAAGTCGTTCACCACCTCACCAGCTTCACAAGTAGCAGAGACTAGATTTGAATAAAAGTTCCAGAACTCTGCAGCACAGCCTGACCAGTGTGTTTTAATGCACTGGTTTAAAAATGAACATAATTTCCTCCATGCTGTGTACATAGAAAAGGAACCTAGCCAGCTTTGAGAACCCTTAGGCTGATAAGAAATGATGCCAACTTTCATTTCTTACCACGTGATAGGTCGTGGGTTGCTGATAAACCTCCTGGTTCAGGTGACAAAGTATAGTAGGTACCAAGAGGATCAAGTTCTACTCTTTACTCTTTGGTCACGTGGAGACCTGTGAGGGGCGTGGAGCTCCATGGCCGGAGAAACAGCGCCACCCCAGACTCTGTGAACATCGGGTCACCCGCGGTGCCATGGGCCACGGGCCACGGGCCACGTTACCCCAAGTCCTAAGGGGCCGCGTTAGCTTGTGGCTGCTCCCCGCTGGCTGGGGCACACATGCAGACTCTCACACCTGGAACCCACACAGGACCCCTGCACAGATTCAGGTTACCCCGGGCTGGGGTTACACAGTGACCCCCAAACCAAAGCAAACAAACCCACGCACAGGCAGTAAAAGCCTGGGGTAACAAGCCCGGAGCGCCCCGGCTTCAGGATTGCAAACAGTTCCCCCGTCCACGACAGATTACGGAGTCATAAACAGCACCCTCGTAAAAAGAAACCTGGTGCGTTCCCGGCAGGCTGGAGTTGGCAATGCCACTGCCAGATCTTATTTCATGCTAGGAGGAGGAACGGGCTTGCAATGATTCTGCTAGAATCCATCCTTTGCTGATCCTTCCCAGTTAACTGCATGGCCATGGGGTTTTTAAAAAAATAATTTAAATTTTTCTATATGTTGACATTTACCCTTCATATATTAGAAATGCAAAGGGGAGCAGGGGTTTTTTATGATCTCTGATGACATTCCAAGAAAATGTCACTCACCGGTACCAGCACTCTCCTGGAATCTCCGGTGTGGGGGACCGAGTCTGGCAGGCTCTGTCTCCATCAATCAGGGCCCGCAGGGAATGGTATGTACTTCAGCTCCAAAGGGCTTGGCCCCCGACAATCCCATCTTCTCCATTTGTGGGTGAGTTTGAAGCTCACTCCCCCTCAGCCTGCTGGAAACCTTCCAACTCTAAGACACGCTCCAGATCCTGGGCTCCATGAACTAGGATTCGAGGGCGAGAAGGAATAAGATTGTGCTAAACTTTGAAGTTCATGTTTTGAGGTTTTTTTTTAAAGTCAGCCTGAACACATCGGCCATGTCGTGGGCAAAGAAAGCAATAGCAAAA